CCTGAGAGTATGGCAAATCCATCTCCATTTCTTCCTGCATATTTGTTTCACAATTGGTTCCTGGTTGGTTCGCTCCAGAGATCTTTGTTGCTGATCTTTTCTGGCCTGGTCTCTTTCTCATGATAAACACTATTGATATTAAACAATTAAAAAATAGAATTTAAGTATTGCTTTGCAGGGATTTTATTTGACTGGTTATAGGGTTTCATCATGAGCTAACGTCATTTAGAGAACCATTGGAAAGCCTGCATAGGGTACTGAACAGCCATTTCGTCCTGGTTTGGGACTCTCCATCAGCGCGCACCCTCCACCAGGGTTCAGACCCAGGACCTACTGGTTATCAGCCAAACTCATGAATCCGATCCAATGGCCCACGCATGAATTCCAGCTTCCGTCAATTCACGAAATAGAGTGACCACTAGCCGATTTCATCGTCGACGAATGTTTGTGCTCAAAACCGACTTGCTGTTGCCCACTGGTTACCATTTCCTACTAGAACCCGGGTAACTACCAACATGATGAATAGGGTTAGTCGCTAGTGAGCATCATACTGATAATCGAGTTTTGGTTTGCAGGGATTTGAATTGAATTGAAAAATCTTCTTGAAATTGCGAATTCAGTTCTTCTGTTTTTTTAGAATAAAGCTCATCCATATTGTCACTACTTACTCAGTTGGCGTACTACGTAACTATATGTCTTTGGTATAGGTCACAATTTAGTGAACAATCAATTTTAAAAATTACATTCTATTAAGCTTTATTGAAAAATATTAAAGATTGTATCACATAAGTTACTGTGTGCGTCGGTATTTCAATGGTAGAATGCTCGCCAATCAGGCAAGCGGTCCGAGGTTCGACCCTTGAACAATGCACTCCGAAAACTCACTTAGCAGGTAATAAGCTTGGTCAATAGGGACAGTTGGGTGTGAGGCTAGTAAAACCACCCTGTGAAAAAAAATAAATACCACTGCTACTGAAACTTCCAACCTCAAGCTTGAAGCCCTGTGTTCCACTCGGAACGCAAATGAAGAAAAAACAAGCGTAGGTTATAAGAATGTAGTAGACACAAAATATTTTAAAGTAAGTAGATATGCGTTGGTAGCACAGCAGTAGGATACTTAACGACCACTCATGTGGTCAGGGGTTCAATCTCCGACCGTCGCTCTCCTTAACCCCGCTAAGCCAGTTATAAGACTATTAAAGAGGGAAGGTTGAGCATGGGACTTGCAACTCCACCCCGTAAGAGAATAATAACATTAATGCTACCGAAACTCCAAAGCTCTAGCTTGAAGCCCTATGTTCCACTACGAACGTGAAGGAATAAAATAAAATAATTAATAAAATAAATGTGAATCAGCTAGCTACCTATATGAATGATGAAACTTTCAAAAGTAAACATAATTATCCGTCAAAATGTAACACATCATATCATATGGAAACAATGAGACTACTATAGGGAACGAATTCAAAACAAAGACACTACCATGTCAATGTGTGTAGAATAGCAAATCAAGCATTACTAAAGCATACCAGTATCACAAATGCTAAAATCAGTTTTTTTCAGCACTGTGCTGTTGATGAGACTAACTGAAAATATTGACAGACTAATATTCATTTAATGTCTATTGATCTCACATGAAAAAAATCAGGCTGCTGTAAGTGTCAAACCAAAGCTTTCTGGTATTGTTGTGCTTTCAAAGCTAGGTGGTTTATTTGCAAAGCTTTCATTCTCTTTCTAGATAGAATCTTCAGAGCTTACTTCAGTGTAAAGTGCGATTTTGAAATCCTCTGTGAATAAAATATCTACCTTCTCTAATGACCTGAGCTGTGACTGATTGTCCCATCAGATTTTCTGATAACTGTACTGTGTTAATACTGATGCTCTCTCAATATTCGACGTTATGCTCGTGTGACATTTTTATTGATTTATAAGAGCCTGTGACAGAGAATGTGAAGGAATTCTCTAAAGCCTGGTCGAAGGCATCCAAAAAGGCAGATATTTCAACCAAAGAGAAGTCTAAAAGCTCACTTTACATTGAAGTTAATGGTGAAGATACTGCCTAGGAAAACAATGATAGCCTCACAATAAACCATATAGCTTAGATAACACAATGATAACAAAATCACTCATCTGAGCTACAGCTCCTCTCTATTACTTCAAAACTAAAGGCTTCTGGACTAGTAGTTTGGCTCATTGCCAACTCAGCTATTATCCACAGGTGGTAATTATTTTACATTCACTCATCAACTTTTATATTAGTATCAGTCTTCTGGGTAATTTCCCCAACATTTGATAGCGTGCATTAACTTTCTAATTTAGTTTGATTGTAATTAAAGTTATTTTTTTTATCTGCTTAGACAGCTAGTGGTAATATTTTACACTGATAGTTATGCACTAGAGAGAGAATTTAAAATACTCATTTTCGAAATGTAATTCAGTGGGAAGAGGACTGAGCTAGTGATGCCTAGGCCGTTATTAGGAATCCTATTCTCAAGGAAACTTTTATTTTGTTTCAGAGCAGTAAATAGTTAAGAGAAGGAAAAATGTTAGACTAACTGCTCAAGTTTTATCCAGAAATCAGCCAGTAACCACAGGAAAACGTTGTGCGCCATAAAAGTTAGAAGTTTAATTTATCCAAGTGAACTTGTTTATTTTCTTCGTCATGTATGCTGAGTACAGTACAGTATTGCTGTGTTTCAGTTTGATGTTTATAGTGCAGCTTCTATGCAGATAGGCTGATTATTGTATAATATATAAAATAATGCGAACAAGTAGCTTGTTGGTCTATGAAGTCGCCTTGTAACCTAAAAGTCCTGGGCTCGAACCCTGGCGGTGGGTGCGTACTGGTGAAGAGTCTCAAATTGGGACGAGGTAGCTGTCTAGTACTTCCAGATTTTCCAATGTTTTGAGCGTCGGAGGTTCAGTGGCAACATACTGGCCAAAGACGCAGTTGGTCCGACGTTCGATTCCTGGCCGACGCACTACTATACCTCAGCCGGTAGTGAGTTAGGCTAGCAATCTTACCCTATAAAAAGACATCAGTGCTACTGAAACTTCAGAAGTTCCGACTTGAAGCCCCATGTTCCACTGGAAACGGCAAGGAATAAAATAAAAAAGTAAGCTGAAGCAACTGAAACAGAGGAATGAAACTAGGGCATCTCTTACTACTCTACTGGCAGATATCATTATGAGTTATACTTCTTATAATAATAATAAAAATAATAATTTTTACGAAGTAATATTACTCCTAGGAATTAATGCAAGTAGAAAATGTAGTCTAACTAACTAGTAAGTTGAAACTTGTTTGAAGCAAGTGATTAATCCTACTGAGAAATTTCTAACCCCATATCAAGTTATTCACTGGTGAATTATTAAAAGTATGACCTGGAAATCTATTTAGATATAGTCATACTAGAGATTTAAAACTGATTTTATTAAATAGTTTAGAACTACAAAAAAAGGCTGATATCCACCAATATTTCTTGTGTAATATTCTTTCTATGGTGGTTAATTTAAATCACTTACCACAACCCTCTACTTTGTACTTTTATTGTTTTTGTTGTTGAACATGTACAAATTACTCTTTCTAGGACTTTTATGCATCCTTTCATGTACTCGTTTATGTAAAACAACTAGTTCACAATATTCATATGTTAAATTGAGATATGATTGGTTGTATTCTCATCCTTTTGAAATTACAGTCCTGCATTGCAAAGAGACAAACTTTTAAACTGAATGTTGTTTTATTGAGGAAAATAGTTCTGTGTCTGACGTAACACGTCAGTGTAACTTAATCTCTTGTCGGTATCTTTCAGTAAAATAGCATTAGTAAAAATACTATGATAAATTAGTCTATTACTTATACTTCCAGCCTCATCGGCAAGTCATTACTGTGAAACGAAATAATATGATGATGTTGGTTAATTTGTATTTCAAAAGAATGACTACTGAACAATGAATATTTTTTTCGATAACGCCTTCTTCATCAGGTTCTACAGTTATACATACACAATAGTGAATGAAACAGAGTTATTAATAACATGAATGTTGTTTGAATAACATCGAATCAATAATAATATCAGAGAAATTATGAAAAATAATAATAGTACAGATTCATGAAGTTATAGTTTCCACTGTAGGCTTCCGTAAACAAGAAGCTTATATATTGCAATTCAAGGGCAATATACTCAGCTAAATAATTACGAAGAAGATAAGGAAATCAGTTCAGAGAACTTTTAATTCTGGCAAACTACAAGTCTTATTTTCTACACAATCGATAGTGATTCCTCAAACGAAAGATTAAGCACCCAGACTAGTCGTTTCTGATTGAATCTACCAATTCAGCTGTACTTGTGGAGTGAGTTATATTGGCTGTTGCTCTAGGGACTTGGGAACATCTACCAGTGTGGTTAAACAGAGGTGCAGTCATAAGCACCAACAACTCCATGATAGAACACCTGATACAAACCAGTCACAAAACCACGATTGAAGAATCCTCCTGCATCATCTATTGGGTACCAGATAAATTACCAAAAACATCGAGGTACCACATAATCCAAACAGCAGAGGCTATCGAGATTCACTTGAAATAACCAGTGCTTTGTGCGCAGAAGAAGCAAGTCCAGCCACTACTACTGCCCTGGCTGGCCTTCAGTGGAGACTATAAATTCATGAATCTGTATTATTATTATTTTTCCTAATTTCTCTGATATTCAGTGTATTGTTATGTTGATGCTATTGAATTGTAACCCATTGACATTATTATTATTATTGATTCGATTTTATTTGAACAACATTGATGTTGTTGATAAGAGTAATTCATTGACTTTTATGTTTATATATATAGGTGCAGAAGGTGAGGAAGAAGGCGTTATCGAAAAGAGTATTCTTTGTTTAGTAACTCTTTTCATTATCTTCAAGAATATATTGTAATTTGATTTATGCTACTATCTATCTCATCCTTATATTTAACTGCAAATATTCTCCACTTTGCATTGTAGATGGGGTACACAAGGTGATTTTTCAACAAATCAACCTCTTCCTACAGTTAAAGTTAAACTGTATGCTGAAAGTTCAGGTCTTTTGTCACTTGACAGTGGTAAAGAATTAGGACGTGTAAGTTCATTTTTTAAAATATTTTTACTTTATTTCTGTTTTTCCTGAAGTGTCTCCCATAAGCGAAATTATTATTACACACATTATCACAAAGTTAAGCAGTGTGAATTTCTTTGTCTTTATTTTCCACCTACTCAACTGATTTCCCCAAGGAAAATCATTTTTCAAGTGGTTTTTCAAGGGCTGATTTGTGGGGATTTTATCGGTTTCAAGTTAGCACATGAAGTGATACCACTCAGAGAACTATTTAAATCAAAGGAGCACTAGAAAACTGTTTCGTCCACGTTTAGGACTCATTGACATCATGCACCAATGATATCCTACTAAAGATTGAACCCAGGGCCTTCAGATTACGAGGCAATGCTAATTGATGATCATTCATTCAAAGCAAAACTAGCTGGTTTTAAAAATTTGTTCTTTTCTTCACTTAACTTCATATGCTATACCGAGATCTCAGTTATACCTAAGGAATTTTTTCCACTGAAAATTGATGCTGATTGTTTGATTGAAAATCTCTCTTCCTCCTCCTTCTCCTGCTCCTCCACATCCTCTTTCACTGCCTTTCCAGAAACTGGAATTTCCATCTTGTTTTTTTTATCCAAGAATGAATCACTATTTTTGTTTTTCCTTTTATCTTCCTGTCTTTCTCAAACCTAGTCACTGTATATTCCAAATTACATTCCGTATTATTATTATTAAACACTTTAATCCAACAGTCTGCATAGGCTAAATAATGATGCATCGTTTATTGAACTTTGTGAATAATTTTCTTCACCCTGTTCTTCTGCATATTTTCACTCTGAGGTTGGTTTATTTTAATATTATTTCTGTTTCACCATATGATACTCAACAACAACAACAACCATTGACAGCGGAAATGACTGATATGAAATTTGAGTACGTCGACAGGATTTTCGTGTTATAATTTTGAAGTGTAAGCATAGGTTACTTAGTGATTTTTCTTATACCATTCTATTTTTGTCTTGTGTTGTTGTTTTTAAAAAAAATTCTCTGTGCGGGTTAGTTGGGCAAGTGTTAAATTACTCAGGATAAATTTTATGTCTAGTTGTTGTTTTAAGTTGAAAACAAAAGGCTGTGTAATTATCAATACATAAAACTGTGGTTAAGTCAGTGGGAAAAAGGAAATTACTTTGTCGCATTTTAAACTTCCGATCAATCAGCTTGTAAACAACCGCTAAAATAGCTGTCTTGTGAAGTGGAGCACTTAAAACACATATAATATATAGTGTGATTTCTCCTTCTTATCAGTTAATCACAATTGCAACAGGATTTCTAAGTAAACATCTTTTGCATTTCATGCCATATGGTGAGAAATACTGCACAGCTATTTCATCCTAGTATGGGATTCTTTATCTGTATGCATCTATTGCCAGAGTTCAAAGCCGGAACTTCCAGTTACAAGGCTAGCTCGTAGATCATTCCGCCACTGGGACTTGACTCAGTGACCAGCCCATGAATTCTAACTTCTACCAATTCATGACATAGGGCGATTATTTCGCAATGTCTTCTTCGATGATGAGTTGCTACCTCACCTTGAACCTGCTGTATCCTACTGGTCACGGCTTCTCACTATAGCCCCAGGTGAACTGCCTGAATAGGGCCAGTTGCTAGTGAGTCCCAAACTAGGATGAAACAGCTGTCCAGTACTTCCATGTTTTCCAATGCTTCTCTAACTGATATCAGCTCATGACAAAATCCTCCAACCAATCAAACAAAAATCCCTACAAAACCATTACTTGAAAAGGCATAGGTTTATAATAAAATTCCATAATAAAATAATTGTATCTGATAAAACCACATAGTGAAGCAATATTATTTACTGATTAAGTTTCAAGCACAAGTTGCTTCTCATAATCATATCAAGACCCCCATATAACCTTCTTAATAAAATAGCAATTATAGTGGTATTCAGAACTACAAACTCAATCAGGAGCAAGTGCGGTAGACTGAAGGACCCTACTGATCCAGTTAGACACCTTCAGTTAAACTTACACCCATCGCGTATAATATTAATGACACGACTCCTGCAGCAGAGATATGGAGCATATTACTGATAATGAAACCAGAGGATAAGAAATAATGGAAGTATATAAGGTAGGTTTGAAATCTATGCGACTGTCTGAATATGATTATGAGAAATACATTGTGCTCGCAATATCATCGGTAAATAGCATAGTGTCACTTAATGCTTTTTGTCAAATAAAACTATTCTATGATAGAGTTATACTCTGCCACAGTGCCAAAGTTCTATTCTTATATTTCTAATGAAATTGCCTAGATAAATATGTACGTATTGGAATAAAGTGAAATTCGCAAAATACTGACATTTTTATGATTTTAGATGATTGGAGACAATGGACAGAAAGCTCTACACCTAGGTTTCATGCTTTTTGGAGCTCGTCAGCAAGGTGTACATGTAGTTTTGAAGGAACTCATACCCCCCTGTGATGATGAGTGGCAATACGACCAGATTTGGTTGTCCAAACTACGTGATATATTTCGGGACCAAATCTTAGACCGAGCTGAATGCTTAACTGGCTAGTGATCGTGAACGCAAGTGACACAACGGAGTACCAAATGGCATGGATGCTTGACCTGAAGCCTTCAGCTAAACAAGTCGACTTAAACAGTGAGGGTCAGCATCTGATGTTCAGTGATGATTGCTGTGGTCCATAATTTTGGGTAATTATTTACCGCTACAACCTAGATGCTCGCGGCTTCCTGTCGATTGCCTTCAACTATCTTACATCAACATCAGAGTGTTCACCGTGTTGGTGAGTCACCTAGTCTGATGACCACACTGCAAACTTGAGTGGTAGAATTCAGTCTTCACTAACATCAAGGACAAGATGCATGACACTGATTATGTGACCTGGCAACCAGTTGATATACTCTGTCATCTGCTGATAAGAGGCGTCCACACATAATACACTTCTAGCAGAATATGGAGTTATTCACAATCTAGTTTTATTTCTGCTTCTGAGTTTCTTCATGCTGTCTCGAATATGAGTGACGTTTAACCTACGTATTAATATCACTGGTGAGCTACGATAGTTCAATGTCAAAATATTATGAACCGACTGTTAGCTAAAAGCTTTCTTACTGTTAAAATAAAATGGCAAACATTAAGTTTCGTGACCTCAGTGACTTATCAGGCAATTTTGATATGTACTGTCCAAACTCTCTACGACTGTTAATTGAGTGCAGGTAACGAAAATAAGCAGTGAATATCTTATCCTCAAGGGTCAATGAATGTTAATCAAATATAAAATTAGAATTTTATGAATTCGGTAACCATGAAGAATGAATACACCTCCACAGTTCCTACTGATCGACTTCTGCTTTGCTGACTTTAGTATTGTTCACTAGGGAATTAATTATCCCTAATTTAAACTGTGTATATATATAACTTTAACGACAATATTTTTATTACTTAATGTCATCAAAAAATGTTGAATTTTCGCTTTTTAGATTATTTTAAATCCTACGTGTACAGGAAATCGACAACCAGAATGGTATAAATTACAAGTGGCAAAAAATATTCCCGATGATTTGAGCATACAATTGACACTAAGAATGGATAAACCAAATAACCTGAAACATTGTGGTTATCTTTATGCATTGGGTAGAACAGCATTTAGAAAGTGGAGACGACGTTATGTCTGTTTAATACAAGTATGTTGTTTTCAGTATTATTACTACTATTTTTATAATCATTACTATCATTATTTCCGTTTGGTTATTCTAATTTTCATGCGGTTAGGTGATTATTGAAGGTGTTAACATTAGGAAGTTGAAATTTCTATACTAGTTAACCTGTGCAATATTTGATTTGTTAAGAATTCTCTCACTGGGGACTGTTTTAAGTTTGTTTTTTTCATTGTCTGAAAACTGTTTTCTGAAATTATTGAATTCAGTTTTTTTATATACCAAATTTTAATTGGTGTTTCATATGTACATACTGTGTAGCGCTTGTAAAAACTTAGTTGATTAAATTAAAGATTTTTTTACTTTATCATTTGGGTTGAATTTATTTCAGTATTTGTTTTACTTTCGCCTAATGGAGTTGTATTTTTTCTTTCTGCTTCAAAATATTGTCTTTTATTTGTGACAAGAAATTTTGGACATGGTATCCAGATGAAAGTAATCAAACTATTGATTTTAGTTTGTGTGTATTGTCATGTAATGCATTGACTAAGTTGGCTAGGACAAATGATGCACATGCGGAGCAATCGCCTTCCTCGACAGGCAATGCTGAATGACATAGGATTAGGTTTAGAAAGAGTTAAACATGGTTGGACCAAAAGTTAGCACTATTATTATTATTTATATTGTTATCTTCTTTATTTCCTAGAGGAACATAGGGCTTCAGCCGGACGTTCCCATTGCTTTCGGCTTTTGGCTTCAAGTCTGCCAACATGTTTTCATCTCCTCTTTGCATGACCTCACCCATGTCACCCTCGCACTGACGATCAACTCGCCGCTTCCCATTCGGGCTCCACTCGAACGAAGGTCTGGAGTGTGATGCCAATCACTTGATGGTTTGTTTTCTCAGAGTATGGCCAATCCAATCCACCTCCATTTTTTCCTGCATACTTGTTGCACATTCGGTTCCTGTTGGGTTGGTTCGATCGATCCCTGTTGCTAATCTTTTCTTACCATCTGATATCGAGTGTTGAGGGAAGACAGCTGTTGATGAGGGTTTTGTAGCTTGTTCGAAGTGCTCTTTGTGACACACCAAGTCTCTGATTCGTATTGTAGCACTGACTTCACACTAGAATTGAAAATCCGGATCTTGTTTTTCATGTTGAGGAGTGCTGTTGATCTCCACAAAGACTTGAGAGTAATGAAAGCTTGCATTCTTTCCCCGATAACTCCCGCTTTGATATCCTCATCAGTTCTGCATCAGTTCATGAAATCTCTGACAGTTCATTTGAGCCACTCAGAGAGGTGTAGACTGCTTGCGTAGGGTACTAAGGATCAATAACTGGAAACTATTAGTGATATGGCTTAAAATGCTTCTCATCGGCGAAGATGCACTCACTATTTCCGACCTCCCATGCCCACTAGGCCACCATTTGTTTCTGGGCTACTATTCCTCCACCTGCTCCCCTCTGCTTTTTATCGTTCTTTTGAATCTGTTCTTATCTGTCGTTTGTTAAATTCTGTGTTCTACATCGAGTGTGGCACCTTGAAGTGCTGCATGTCTGTGCAAAGTTCGATGTTGAAACTCATTCATTCATTCAGTCAGTATTCACAATTCACTATTCCAGATTTACTATATCAAGCAACAGACAGTCAAATCAACATATTAAGAACATATTCCTGTTGGTCACTGATGAAAATGTGAAATAGTGGAAGTGACTGACAACTATCAGATGGTGGAACATCAGCAGAATGCTCGCCAACCATAAATGTGGTCCGGGGTTCGATTTCCAGTCGTTGCACTCCTTTACCTCACTAAGCCAGTAATAAGACCGATGAAGAGGGAAGGTTGGGCGTAAGGCTAGCCAAACCATCCCGTAAAAATGTACACCACTGCTACCGAAACTTCATAGCTCTAGTTTGAAGCCCTATGCTCCACTAGGAATGTAAAGGAATAAAAAAATAATAATTAGATTAACTTACTTCATTTTTATGTAAGAGGTTTATGTAACTGTTTTTGACTGGAGCGCCAAGAAACCAGTAGACACATGTTTCCTACCCTCAATTAAAACTTGATATAAATTTTAATTTATGCGAAGTTTGTTTGACTCCATTTTGACGACTAAGTGCTAACACCAAAGATTTCGTTAAACTATTTACTATTTCTCGCTTGTCTGTTCTCTTCTAAATATTGTCATTCAATGATAAATTGTACCATGAATAATCTCATTCCTCTAACGGTAATATTTATTACCTAGGTAGGAAGGATTAACGCCTAGTCCCCTTCCTTTCGTTACCCTCTACTTGTTTTATTTTTCATTCTTTATCTAATTTTGTATTGAGTACATGTTCATTTTATTATAAGAGTGTTCATAACCGATGACCGTAAGTTTTAAAGGTGTTTCTACCTCATCAGTTATATAGATAATTAAGAAAGGCAAGTGAAGAAAAATAACACATTTAACCCTTTTCTCTAATAAAGAAAAAACAGTGAGAGAGGGTATCAGCTTCACAGTTGAATTAATCTTCAACTTTTCACGTATGCAATTCCTATTATTATTAGTAGTAGTAATAGTAGTATTATCTATTAAGGAAGTATATATTATTTTAGTCACGTAAATTCCTTATGTGTGAAATGAATGCACTGACACAAGCAAGCTATCATAGTCGAATAGAATATTTTTGATATTCTTTCATTCATGAACGTGTGCAAAACCAATTTCATCACTTATCATTTTGACTCGATCACGAAAGCTGTAAGATAAAAATAAAAACTTCAGTCATAAATTTTAGAATAATTTCTGATCATATGACTGATAGACATCTTTGTAATGCTTCTTGTTACTCTGTACATAGTAATACTGAACTGATTAAACAGCTGTAAAGCTGCATAACAAACACTTTTTTGAAAAGTCATTATTATTCTAAGTCTAAACAAAAAGGTGTGATTTTATAATTTAAAAAAAAACAGTTTTGCACATTTCCCTTTTACTGTTACAACCAAAACGGATTCGTTAGCGTGTAAACACAGGGAGAATCGACCACTGCATCCTACAATCTAGCTCTTCGAAATTTCGCTGAGATACGCGCAGTCAAGAATCGCTCCAAAGACAGTGAAAGACGACTATTCTGGGATAATTCTGTGGTTTTATTAACAACAAAACTCAAAATTACCTAAACAGTGGCGTTAGGCAGCTATTCAGTCTAGCGTAAGTACAAAAGGAGTACTTAGAATCAAGTAGAATATTGCCAAAAAACATGGAATCAAAATATTAAAATTAGAGGTTAAACAATCACAAAGACAAATTATTATTCCCTTGGGTTCCGAGTAGAACATATGGCTTCAATAACACATCTCTACTTTGTTCTATTTGGTGATGTCCTCTTCAAATGGGTCCACGACTGCCCATTATTTCTCATCTCCTCATCGCATGATCTCCTCAATGTCACCCTCGGACAACCCACTCGTCGTTTCGCCTTGGGTTCCACTCGAGCAACGGCTTGCATTGAGTGTCATGTCATTCGATGGTCTCCTCAGCGTATACACAATCCATCTTACACTTTCTCCTACATATTTCTTGAACGATAGGTTCCTGGTTAGTTTGTTCCCAGCCAGAGTTTCTTGTTGTTAATTCTTTCTGGTCAGTGGGCTGGCCATTTGATCTTCAGTATGAAGCCAGCGAAGGAGGCAGCTGTTGATAAAAGTTTGCAGTGGCCTGTTGGAAGTGTTTTTCGTAATGCGCTGCCCAAGTTTCTGATCCATATACAGTCACTAACTGACTTCACATTTGTGTTGAAAATCTGAATCTTGTTGTTTATTCTGAGGTGGAGTGCAGAAGATTCCCTAATTAGTTTTACATTGATGAAGATGTATCTGGCCTTTCAGATTCTGGCGGACTTTGACATCTTCATCCGTTCTGACTGCCCATGGCTGAAACAATACATCCTAGATAAAGGAAAAGTGCATTGAAGTTTCTGTAGCACTTTGATCGGTTTTTGTGGGGTTGGATTGCTAGCCCCACGCTTAACCCTCCCTGTTTACTCGGGCTTGGTACCAACTAGGAAACTAGTGAGCCAGTAAACCAGGAGAGGTAACATAGACAAATAATAAGGGTCACATCAACATTTGATATGCAAATGATAAGATAGTGATATACAGTCTAGAAGAAAAACGGTTGATGATTACAAAGTTATTTGAAATATCTAAATCAGTGCAAATAATGTAATTTGATCTTTCGGTAGGGATTTTCTATGCAATCTTTCCGTTACACGCACATAACTTGACATAATACTGCAACACACTGAACAATCAACCAATTTCACTTCAATAAGGATAATTTTGTTTCTGCATAGTTCTTCTTGTTCTCTTGCTCATATTTTTTTTAAACACTAACGATACTCAATTGACAAACATAAGAGGACTATAAACCTATTTGTTATTTTTTATTTTGTTACTATTAACTACTTTGGAAATAAATTTTTATGATCACTGTGGTACTTACTTATAAGTTATACGTAGCTTACTCTAAAAAACACGGACCAAAGACGATGTACACCATCTATTTCACTTTGACTGATTACACTTCAAATTTAACATCACTGATGAAGAAGAAGGAGGAAGACAACGTCAACTGATTTTCCTATTGTATTATTTTTCATATGGTTCAAACATTTCCAACAAGCAGCTACATACTTTCACCAATAGCCACCTTCTCTTGATATTCAAGATGAAATAGCTGACAAGAAAGGGTGAGCAATATAGAACTCTGTTAGGCAGAGAATCAGCCAAGAAACCATTACTCAGCAAGTATGCCGAAGGAAGGTGGAATTTGATTGAAAATACTCTGAGTAGACCATCAAGTGCCAATCACACTATTGGCCATCGAGTGAAAGTCGGATAGAAAGTGGTAAGCTGGGCTTTAAAGGTCGACATTAGAGGAGATCGTTTCACAACTGTGGAGTCATCTGAAATCGACAGCAGAAAACAGAGTACAATAGAGATGTGCTATTGAGACCTGACACTTCACCTG